TTCTATTATATCTTGAAGCTTCATCAATAAAAGTTACAAAATAGCGTTTGCCAGAAGAAGTGGGAGTTTGAATTGGCCCAACAACATCAGAGTGGATACGATACAAAATACGGTCTGAATTAGGGAGATTAGATGAAAATGGCTTTCGTGTGGACTTTGCCATTATGCAGGACGTGCATTTCCCTGTCATATGATCACCAGATTCGCAGAATCTTCGTAGAGCTGAAGAGTGGAGGTGTGCCATGCGTTGATGAGTCAAATCAGCTACTGCATTGTAAGATTTGAATGTACGATGACGATGAGGATGACCAGATTTGGAATGGGATGAAACGTTGTGATGAATCATATGCTGAGTGCTTACTCTGGCCTTCCACAAATCCATGCTGTTCGCATTTCTACAAGCAAACACCTTACTGCCATCCTTATGAACAAAACTCATATTTTGAGCATCCCCATTCAGAACGTATCCCAGATCACAGAGTTTTGTTGCTGAGACCAAATTCACCGCAACATCAGGACAGTACAAAGCATCGATCAGAGTGGTCGTGCATTTGATGTTATCTTGATCGAAAGTTGTGATCGTGACATCCCCTGCTTTGTTAGCAGTCATGTTTCCACCATTCGCTGATCTGATGTTAACCGGCCGAATCTTGTGCAAGTTTTGAAAAACACTTTGATCGTTGAAGATGTCCTTGTTTGATCCCGTGTCCATGAAGAAGTCACATCGATTTTGAGAATCCATCGCAATCGCAGAGTAAGCAGTGGTAAGGTTGATGGCCTATTCCTCTGTTGAAGCATCTTCTTCAGTCACTACTGCAGCATTGGCAGTCGCTGGCTGTTTCGATACAACTGGCTTAGTAGAGAAAGCTTGATCAAATAGACGTATCTTGTCGGCATTAGATAGCTGAGTTGGTTTAGAATTGATGTGTGACACCGGCGCACTCCATTGTCGCTGCATAGGTCGAGACGACGATCCAGAACTGTCGTTGTTCCTGGCTTTACACTCTCGGTTCAAGTGCATTGAGAAGTGATGTCCAGGGTGGGAACACAACGCATCAGGAGCATTGCTCGATCAATCTCCACCTTTTCCTATTAAATGCTTCTTTTCATGTTTCTTCGATTTTGCAACTACAGTGTATGCAACAGTCGCGGTGGAGTCCGATGAAGTATTCATTTGAGCTTTGGTGAGTAGTCGATTGATCACATTAGAGGTAGATAAGTTCTTGACATCGCCCATCAGTTGTTGAATGATGCCACCGTATTCCTCTCTGGGCAAGTTGATCAACATTAGAAGAGCTAGTACCTGGTCTGAAAGCTTTAGACCTGAGTCGGCGGATACGGTTCTAGCGAGTTGATTGTGTAGAGACTGTGCTTCGCTAATGTAGTCTTCAAGTTTGGTGGAAGCATCGTAACGATGATTAACGATCTTTGTGATGATGTTGGCAGCGGCCAGACCCGAGTTGACACCATGCCTTTCCTCCAGTGACTGAATTGCTAGGAATGGATCATCCATGCCGGCAATGTGCTGTATGTGAGCAGAATCGAGAGTAGCCCTGATGGCCAACATGACTTGTTGTTGGCGCATTTCAAACCGGTCGAGTTCATCTGGATCGGTGGGAGCAGCGACGGAAGAACAAATGAAGGATCCAAGGCCACACGCCTTGATGTAACCTTCGATGTTCTTCTTCCAGTGATGAACATCGCAAGTCCCTAGCTTTGGGAAGGAAGATAGCATGGAGGTGCTAGGCATAGCACCACGAGATTCAGTCATGATTGATGATCTTGACCGTTGTACAGTCTGTACAGTATCACCCGACGATTCGGATTCGTTTTCAGATGCGTCTGAATTATGGTTTGAAACGTTGCTAGCAGGCGTGTTAGCAGGTGTTGGATACGTAGTGGGTGGAGCCTGGATACTATAAGTGATATTACCCAAGTAATAAGAATAGAATAGAACAATTGTTAGTACAGCCATTCCGATATTGCTTGTCGCTCCGTTTTGAAAAAGAAAAGTTGAAACCTAAGTTTTTACTCGATAAAACTTCAAACTCAGCTGTAATTCAAGGCAATACAGCCAAACTTCAGGTTTTAACCGGTTAAAACTTAGGTTTTGAGCTCACAAACTTTTTCTTTTCAAAAAGGTGCGACAAGCAATATCGGAATGGCTGTATATAGAAATAATATAAATAATGGTATTCTTTTTAGAAAACACACACCTACTGTAGTTACAGTAGAGGTAGGTCAAACCTTAGACCCGGTTTTAAATCTGAGCACAAAGCTAAGAGTGCCTGTTACTTAAAGTAAACAGGGATCTCGGACAACTTTGTGTTGCAAGAACAATGGTATGGACCAAGTAGATTATAACTCACCCAAGATCAAGTGAGAGAAAGACTTTGTGTAACTACGGAAAATTTGGATAGAGAAAATCAAGATAGATCAGGAGATAGGAATTGAGATATCAAAGAAACGGCAGGAATTTAGAGTACATTTATTTCACGAGCTTTAATTTCTAAAGGAATGCTGGGTGCTTGTATTTTAAGAAGTGGAACATATAGTAAGAGGTTAGAGTCTTATGTATATGCTGGACTTCTTAATAAAAGGTAAACTAACTGTTGCTTTTGAAATTATAGTGGGTAACATCTGATGCCCTTCTTTGCTGGGGGCAAAAGGCTCCTGTATTTATACCTATTGGTAATCTTTGTTCAAGATGTAGTAATTGTTACTTAAGCAGTGTTACTTGCGCCAAGAGGTACGCTCTTTTTTGAGTTTTATTGATATTCTTTCCTATCATCCAGTGAGCTGTTACTCTTAGCTTGACAAGGGTATTTCTCATATCTAGAACTGTTACTTCTCAGCTAGCTTGGGAATGTTTCTCTAAAGGTCACTGCTATTTCCTGGCTCTGGCCTGATCCTTATAATCTTTACCTATTGCCAAGTTTGTCTTAGTTCTTTGACGTAACGGTACTCTACTCATTCTTGAGTAGTGTTCCTCTTGTGTTCTTGTGCTTTCTTTTCCTTGGCTTGTTCTTTTCTCTAGCTAATTCCTAGCTAGTAAGTCGGGAAGGTTTGTTCTTCTCATTTTTAATTCCTCTTCAGGATTTCCTGATGTCTATTCACCTTTGAACCTAGGTCTCTAAGTTGTATATTTCATATATTACAATATTGAATCTTTGATACTGGATTCTAAAAGTGTATTTTATCTTTCTTGATGTTTTTATGTTTTATTACAATAATCAAGTGATGTATATTCATCTTGAAGTGCTCTTGGTGCTTTCTTAAGTACTCGAGTGCTGACAATGTCTGTGAAAAATTTGGTGTCATTGCCTTGGAAAAGAATGTACAGACAGAAGTGTTCAATTGACATACATATGATTCAAAGTACCATTGAAGCCAAAATTAGGCCAAGTGATCAGCAGTGATGCATGTTTGAATGATCTCATTGTGATCTGAGTGGACTGTGCAATGTATGACATTGAGAGCACATCTATCAAGAACTAAGCCATTTGCAGTAGTGATTTGACTATGACTTCCCTCCGAGTACATTCCAACACCAGTGATCATTTGGATAGCGTACCCAGCAGATGTCAACCACAGGTGCCAGTTTGAAACATTATGTTCTAAATTTTCCACTTGTTCCAATATTGACTCTATCTCTGCAAACTTCTGAAATCTTGCATTGAATGTTTTGTATTTGACTGTTTTGCCTGCTTGAACAGCTGCAAGTATCTCATCAGATGACCCTTACTCTTCAAAAACAAAATGCCGACGTTGAAGCTGTCGATAATTTTAGTTGCCGCAAAAAAGATGACATTCCTTTCCATCAAAATCACTTTGATTTTTAGGAGCCACATCCGCTTCCCAAAATGAAGTCATCAAGGCCCAATCCCAACCATTTGCAAAGGGATAGATTAGACCTTTCTTGATTCCTGAGCTGGTTGGTTGACTCAACCCCAAAGGGCTTCGAGAACATCGATTCTGTTTCAACTTCCACCAACTAAGGCTGACTTCAAGTGGACCCCAGCAGCAAATATCCGACGATGTGTGCTTCTTGGTCAGCCAATTTAAGATTTGCCCCACTCACACCACATCTCTGTCGTGTCTGAGCGGTTGAATCATAAAGAGACCAGCTCCAAACTTAACAAAGTCCCTCGCCAAAGGCCCGAGCCCCAGCGAGGGACTTACCCCATAAACTGGAATCCTGGCGTGAGAAGTAGCCTGTATTGGCTCAAAAAACGCTACTTTGAATTCTTTGATTTGTTCCTAAATAAACAGGTCTCGGAGGTAAATAAAAGGATGATGGCAAATATTCATTACATATGAGCCAATTGCAAGCTTCCCCAAATCTGGTCTGGAACTTGGGCTACTGGGGAATCAAAAATGGGTCTGTTTTCAATTTTCAGCAGCGGCGAGCCGGCTCAAAGCCTGTATTTCTCAGAAAGCGGTCAAAATAATTGATCTTCAACTACTCAAAAAGATAACTTCCCAAAAAGATAGAAAGGAGTTTGCAATTGGTACATATGTAATGGTCCCTTGCCTTTTTCTTCTTTCTTTGTTGCAAGACATGTTTGTTGAGAGAGAGAAAAAACAAACAGATGTAGAGAATTTGGAGCAAATACAGCTCACTTCTCACGCCAGGATTCCAGTTTATGGGGTAAGTCCCTTGCTGGGGCTCGGGCCTTTGGCGAGGGACTTTGTTAAGTTTGGACCAGCTCCCTCATCCTTGTGACATCTTGCAGGCGTGCTGTGTATCAGCGATCGGATCCAGGCTTGACCCGGATTTTTTATTGGCCCCGCTGTCCGGATTCAGCAAAGCCGACCGCACCGGTGCATGTAACAGGGCCTGTATTGAATTGGCACTGATACCCTTTGAGGCTGAAATTCTATCCAATCAAATCTCATTCAATCAACTCAAACCAAAACTTGTTCTTATCGAATCACTTCATCAAATCTCATCACTTCTTTACCCATTCTCAAACCTTCAACTCATACCCTTCATTAACATGGCATCTTGGTCATCATGGCTCCTTGGACGAGGTTCTAGTGCTGGAAATCAACGTGATAAGGCTCGAGAAACGATTGTCGAATTAAGACAACATTTGATTATGTTAGAAAAGAAAGAAGATCATTTGAAGTGGGCATCATAGACTTAAATCTCTTTAACTTTCAATCCAATTTCTCTATTCGTCATGACCCTTGGAGTCTATAAGGACTTCATTTGTTTTCCATCAAACTTACTTTGCTCATATTTATAACGTTTCATCTATTCTCTTAGTAAGAAAATTGAAGACGAATTACGAAAGGCAAAAGCAAATGCGACATCAAATAAACGGGCTGCAACTGCTGCACTACGTCAAAAGAAGCTATATGAGCAAGAACTTGACCGACTCGCTGGAAGACGCATGACTTTGGAAACTCAAGTATGATACTAGATTGAATTCAAAGACTGGATTATCTTTTGAATCACCCGAGAAGCTAATTCTCTATATGACGTTGACTGTTAGGTGAATGCTATTGAATCTGCGAATATGAATTTGGAAACTATGCAAGCTATGCGTCGTGGTGCAGATGTACTCAAGGGTATTCACGGAAACTTGTACGCCCATCTGACACTATCTTCTTCCCTTGGAAGGATCGCCCGTATATCTAATTCTATTGAGATAACAGGAACATCGATAAAGTTGATGCTACTATGGACTCAATTCGAGAACAAATGGACCTTACCAATGAAATTTCCGATGCAATTTCAAACCCCGTAGGAATGGGTCAAGAGGTATGAACCAATCCAGTTAAATCAACTACATTCAAATACTAAACCCATAAACCTTTTTTTAGCTTGACGAAGACGAGATCAAAGCCGAGTTGGAAGAACTAGAACAAGATGAATTGAAAGATCGACTTGTAGGAGCCGATAGTGTACCAATTCATTCTCCAAGTCATACCGAACGAGCCGTTCGTAAGTCAAGATTTTATTCTTCATCTATCACTCAGGTTATTCGTGACTGATTGGCTCCCAAATATAGCTCAAAGAACAGCAGCTCAACGACAACAAGAGGATGACGAAGATGCAGAACTTAAAGAACTTCAAGCTGCACTTGCGATGTGATATGTCACTGATCTTTCTTACACAAGAGTGACCTTTCTTACCAATCTTCTCATATCTTTTTTATTTTTACATGGTTGTAAAATGTTGGGTAAACTTTACTGAGCTGTGGATGTTCTACTGGCTGGCTTTCTTTTTTTGGTTTGGTCTTCTTTTTTTTCTTTTCTTTTAACTTCATGCAATGTATAATCATTCCTCCCTGTCGGATTTGTTAATCTTGTATACATCAACGGTGAGGTGGATGGTGAAACTCCTTGGTTTTGCTCTTCACATTACTATACTTGATCACCTGATCATTGGCACTGTCTGTACTCGTGGCTAAATTCCTTTGCATGCAACTCACTTCTTATTAATTTTGTATACCTTAAAGTTGCCAAAGTTTTTCAGTGATTCTTGTCAAAGATCTGTCTGAATCAGGCATTACATGCCCAACTAGGGATAACTAAATCGCTTATTCATCATTGCGATTTTGATGCTTGAAGTATCCCTATTCATGATTTCTAATCAATATAAATTAATAGTAGCCAACCCAGAACAGCAACACCTCAAAATCTCTGTGTCAGCTCTAGTGCATTTGCTATGCTAGTCTCACAATAAATTCTCCATTTTCTTAAGCCATGACACCAAAGTCCTGGATTGGAAATATGAGATGATCAATTGGAGTATCACTTTTTTGATGTCACTGATACCACTTTTTTTGTCTTGTGTTCTCAGGCTTATAACCCTTGAACCTATACTGAATCTTCTTATCTCCCATAGAGTGTGGTTTCAATTGGATTATATATCTACTATAGCATTTGTCATTGCTAGGGATGCTAAAACTTGACTTGGCAAGTCCATTTTTGATAAATGCCAGCCACCAATCAGGGGGTTCCAACTTGCCAAGTCAGAAAAGTTTTGTGAAACTTTTCAAAAAGCAGACAAGTTTTTTACATTTTACAGTGTTTTTTTTTCTGCAAATATACTGTCAACAGCAGTCAGGATACCTAAAAAGGTGTCCCAATTTTTTTAAGTTTACAGTCTATTATGCAACATTGGACAACTTGTTGGACTGTAAAATACCGTAAATTTCTTGACTTGAAACCCCTAATATAGCTTCTTTCAGGTTGAATTGAGTGTGGTCTTACAAAATAAAAGCCTGAGAATAGTACAGTCATCAAAAATTACGCTGTCTATCATATACTTATGGGGTGAGTTGCTATCTAGCTGACACTCAATGATGACTCGGGGCTGTCACTAGCCATCAGGTTGAAGGGGAATCCAAAGATGGGAAATAGCGTCGGGAGGTGTGGTACTTCAGAGGGCTTGTTATCTTGACATGACAAAATCAAGATTGATACAATATGGACAGTTTCAGGCTGACCAGGAGGATTTGTGTCCTGTTAGTCTAATTTGGTCCGCTTGACTATCAAGATAGCAGGCACCAGTAGTAATATTTTATACATTTCTTTGTACAACTACTGCACCTAATACACCAGCGTCTTTGATAGATTGATTTTCATCCGTCAAATCACGGGATGGGAAGATAGTTTGCAGGACATACGGCTGAGAGCCTATCTGGGGATTTGACCTGCAGATTGACAATTCGAACGGAGAATGAGACTCAGATTCGTGATTGATTGAGTAGAATGCGACATCTACTCACGCGGCTATTTGCCTCCTGAGGTCCCCTACTGTATGAGTGTGATTGAGTCTGGTGACCATCCGAGTCCCATCTGCGAGTCGGATTTGCACGGTTGTGACAGGTTGGTTATTATCAACTTCGAATAAGATGCTTGAAGGAGATGCTTGCGTCACACTCGTAGGTGGATTGACCACACTGTGAGACGCCGCGCTGGGCATTGCGCTGGCAGGCAGAGGACTTCCTAGCCTATTTCCGCTCCCACCAAACGGTTTGGCAGGCTGTTTGGGTGGTGGAGTGTAATTCTCCGTCAAGCGTTTCTCGACACGCATTGTGACCCGTTGATTAAGACGAACCCCTAGAAGATCAAGTGGGGCGCGGCTAGTCATAACATAAAAATGTGTGAGCAGGGCGCAACGAAACTTCAGGTCAAAATTTGGATGTGGACAAGTTAAGGCCTCACCCCGAATTGATTGCGTCCAGGATCATCTTGTTCTTTGGGTCCTCGTAATCGAGGAGGGGGCCGTCTTCGATTGAAAATCCATCTTTCCAAAAGGTGAGATGTTTCTCCACTTCCTCGGCGCTGTCTTCTTCTTCTACATCTTCGTCAAAGTCTCGCTCGAACGATCCCGGAACGGCTAAAGCTCTAGGAAACGCGCCAGTTCTTGAGCGAGGAGCCGAAGACTGATCAGGGATTGCTCGAGATGGAACTTCCTCCGAGCCAAGGGTGTAAGCTAAGAAATCGATATTTCAGTATGGCATCCGATTTCAACGTATCAAAGATCTAGAGTGGTTCAGACCTGAGCCCTGAAAGGCATTGGAGGGTTTTGGTGGTATTGGAGCACTCGTGGAAGGCATTGCCGCAGCCCCAGCCCTGATGTAGATTGATCAGATCAATGCATTACTCTGTGTGGTCATCAAGGAAGCTTACTCTTTGGCTTTTTTAAGAATATCCGCCACAATACCAGCAGCTTTGCCGTTCTGTTGGTTGGGATCTTGAACGTTTAGCCCACTCCTACCACCTCCAGCATAAAGATCGGGACCTCCATCGCGATTGTCTTCGTCTTCATCTTCGCTCATATCACCTGCCGGCGAGGAACCAGCAACAATATCCTTCATAGTTGATATACCGCTTCGTCGAGGCGGTGCGCGGCTTCTGTTTCGAAGAATGATATCAGTTGATTAGTTGGAGGAAATCATTCAGGTCGATACAGCCAAGATAAAAAGATACTTAACGATGTCAGATTACCAAAGCCAGAGATTCCACCTCTTGGAGCATTCTTTCGCCCAGCAGAATCGGAAGAAGTTCCTGTTCGCCTCCATTCCGCGGGCATTTCATCTGCAGGTGCTCCTGATAGGGTCTGAGGGCCAGATCTGACCGGAGGACTGACACCGACTGAAGGCAAGGCTGCCGGCTGTTCGTGCGGAGAAGAAGCAGGCGAAGAGGATGTAGCAGCACCGAGGTTGGTGGAGCCGACTGTTTCGTAAAAAGTTGATAGAGCCGCCTGGAATCATTTGAGATACCCCGAACATAAAATTGAGTATGTTAATCTCCAGGGAACATCGAAATGTCCAAAGAGCCTACCTCCAAGTCCCCACCGGCGCTTTCCAAGAAGAATCTCGCCTGATCGATGTCGATACCGGTAATCAGACTGAATTGAGCCACATGACTTGCGCTCACAGGCTCTGATCCTTGGTCTGCCATTACTTGCAAGAGTGAATTTGGTCAAAGGGGTGAATCTGATCGAGCTGAGCCTCTGTTGGATTTGTACTTCTTTGTCAACCTTGGTCAACCCACGTCATCGGGCTCGTTCCGTGTCATTTATTCACCGAGCCCGGTCCTTGGGGGTCCTGAACCCGACGAGAGGTTGCACGTCGGTGTTTCAGTTGAGATCCCGATCATTACTCTGCCTTTCCATGATCAAACTCAACACCTTCTCAATCTGGCCTTCTTCCAAGTATGGTCTTCGGTTTAGGTAATATTCTATACGTCTCCTTACTACTTATCAACTCATTGGCCATCTTGAACGAGGAAAGATTTCTTGCTCGGAGTTGAGTCACAAGTGCTACTTTATAATTCACTTCAGGAGATCTCATTGAGCTGATCAATATTTCGACAGTTGGATGGTCGTCATCACGGACGAATTTCCGTCAAACTGCGCCTCAATTTCATGACCCAGGTATATCTTCAAATGATGCGGGCCCCAGCGTCAAGGAGCGCTTGGTGAATCTGATCGGGGCGGTGAGGACATTGATGCGAAGTGAGTTCTTGATCTAAGCTACACAGTTGTTCCAACTCATATTAACCCAATTCGGTCCTCTCAAACTGCAGTCCCCCTTATAGGCATCAACATCGTCGTCATCATCTATGAACTGATACTGGGATAATCGTCACGAGGGCCCTGTCATGACTAGCCGGATCATGACGTTCATTTTCAGACCACCGATACCTCATCAGGATTCAGAGCAGGCAATTAGCTCCAAGGCCACATTCAGGGAAGACTGTCATCCAGCCGAAGACCGGATAGGATCCTTGTATCGGTTTATCAACTCTCGGCTTTGTAGGTTGTCATGAAGTTACACGGTGGGAAGCAGGAAAAAAAAATTCTATGATGTCATTCTTGCTCAAAGTAATCTCCTCGACGAAATTCCTCACTACTATCTGGTTCATTTCCATGATTGGGCAATCATTGTACTATTTTGCATTTCCCTGAACGTTCAGCAATTGAAGCAGGAATATTCATTTACAAGCAATCTATTCAATGTCTCAAACAAGCCTCAAGTAGCCTGGTCCTCATCATGTGATTATTTTTTGCAGATCTTTCTAGGACTATGGGACGTGAAAACATCTCATATTCAAAGCAGTAGTGAACGACACGGATGAATCCAACAGTTGAACTGAAAAATTGAGCACGTTATCCCTATTGCGTACATCGATCAATCGGATCCATTGCATTTCTAAACATTGACTTCACTTCTGCCTTCGGTAAACATGTGTTCAAACTTCTAACCACTTTCCCCTTACAAGTCTGACCTCAGGTCCGATATTGCTCTGAGTTTTCCCAATCAATATCTGGTTGAAAAACTCGAAATCAGATGATAGTCGGAAAACATGAAGAAGATTTCGATAGGAATACGCACTTCAGGCTTCTTTTCTACCGACTCCAAGTGTTGCACTATTTATATATCTCCCTTATGTCGTCTCGATTATCCACCCAGACCTGCTTGCTGGTGAGGATCCCAGTGATGAGATATTCGCGGATGATTACCGTCCACTACATATCTCCTTTTTCTTGAGAATGCTGAGAATTACGAGTCGTGCAAAGTCCACGCTCCCAACTATTTACCCTCTCAAGACACAAGCACCCAGTTGTCATCAGATCGATGATGATGAAAGCATTTGGACGAGGAGTCTAGTTTCGCAGCAACATACTTGCCGGCACAGTGCGCATATAATTTGAGCTTCTTGGTGTTTTTTGAGACACAAGTGGTCACTTTTGGGGGCATTTCACCCTCTTTCACCACTCTCATAACAGTCCAGCATATTTTCAATTTGTAGGTAAGCTTGCTTCACAGATTCTACGACGCTCTGGAATCTCATATGAGTTGGATGTCCGATAAGTTGCCTGCTTCATTTTACACCCTCATGTCCCAACCATTCTCATCTATTTACATCTGAAGAAGAGATGAAATGAGACTTGTGAGGATTTATTTGACGACCGACTCGAAGCGGCTGCAGCCAATCGTATCTTAGTAAGTTGCCGATATTTCTAGTTTTTGAGATTCAGGAGTTGACTGAGTTGACTCTGGTTCTTTGATTCCGCGGGGCGAAAGAGGTGTTCTAGAGTGGACCAAAGCGCAAGGTGAATCCGGTTGACGTGCGTAAAGTTCCACTTCTTTGGATGTCCATGATCGATCGATAATAAAGATAGCTGAGGCGCCTCAACAGCAACAAGATCAAAGAAAAGGATTTGGCATTTCATACCTTCAACTGCCAGTTATCTTCTGGTTTGACTCTGACAGTGGAGCCTGAACCCAACATTTCCAGTCTAGACGACCTAGTAATCCTACGTCGGGACGCCGTCAACAAGTGCCGAGAGAGTCGGGACGTGCTGTAGTAAACCTAATGATGAGGTTGTCAATGATTTGAAACCTAACTCACGCTGAATCGCTACCGCCTGTCACGCGGGTGGGCAAATTACACGATTGGCTGCTAACAGCAAACGACGACCCTCAAGGCAGAAGGAACGCGAATTAAAGAACTTGTACGATCAATCAACTTAACACCTTTTCTCATTCAAACATTCAACGATCTAATTTGTTTCCGAATCTTATTCAAGTAGCATGGCCACCATTTCTTCAGCTCCCATCGTGGTCGATGGCAAAGGCCATCTTCTTGGTCGATTGGCCTCTGTCCTCGCCAAGCAAGCTCTGAACGGCCAGAAGGTCGTCGTTGTCCGATGTGAAGAAATCAACGTTTCAGGAAGCTTTTTCAGACTCAAGGTTGGTTGTGATCATCTACGAATAGCACCTCAATTCGAATAAATCATCGCCTGGTACCACTTGCTTACTATTCTTCACTCGGTCTTTTTGCTTCTAGCTTCGGTGGGCCGACCACATGCACAAACGCCATTTGGTCAACCCCAAAAAATGCGGACCTTTCCATCACCGTGCCCCATCTCGTATTCTTTACAAAGCTATCCGTGGTATGACTCCCCACAAGACCGCCCGAGGTGCCGCAGCTCTTCAGAGGATCAAACTTTACGAGGGAATGCCACCACCTTACGACCGCAAGAAGAAGATGGTCATCCCCAACGCTCTTCGAGTTTTAAGACTCAAACCCGGTCGTAAATGGTGCACTATCAAACGTCTCAGTCACGAGTACGGTTGGGGTTACAAGGATGTCGTTGATACCCTCGAGGCCAAGAGGAAGGTCAAGGCTCAAGCTTTCCATGAGCGTAAAGTAAGTCATCATTGTCTTGGTTCTTTCTCGTCGCATGAGACTGATTCCTCTGCTCCATAGGTTGCTCTTCTCAAAGCCCGTAACCAAGTTATCTCCTCCTCCGCTGCCCCTGTTCAAGAAAAGCTCGCTGCTTTGGGTTATTGAAGACCATGAAATTTAATCATACTGTCACTCTACTTCCCTGTACTTGTCTTGCTCATCTTTCATGCTTATGCCTGGGAAGATAGGGTCGCGCTGCCTCTACCCAACTTATGAATGTGACATCAGTGCCCTGTATGCCTCCCCATTCCAATTCCTCGTGACCGTAAATTCAGCTTTTGAAACCTTTCTTGCAGCATTCAACAACGAACATTGGATTCCCTCTAGCCATGGCTTTTTGACACGTGCCTTGAGACTACTGACCACTCGAGCCTTCGCTCATTGTACCCTTTATGCCGTGATATCGTGAGCAAGGGCAGGTGAATGTCCTGTGGTGGGCAATTCATGTTGAAGGAGGCGATTTCAGATAGTCATTCAATCAAGTCGCGTTAGGCAACATCAGTCTTTGGGAGTTGAAGATTACATGACTACAACTGCTGCAAGCAGTCTGAGCCTCTATGAACCACTAAGAGATATTGAAGCATGACATGAGATTCAACTTTCCCCACAAATGCTCCATTTTAGTGCTCACTCTCAAAGATCATGTAGCATCTCAGATGATACAGCACTCAAAGTTGTCTTGCTGTGCAGTTAGGCTGGCTTCCTGCAGGTATTTTGTGGCTCTACTCAAGCTCTGTAGTTTTCAACTTGAATTATGGGTGGGACTAGTATGTACAGACAAATAGAGGGATTCAGTTTGCTGGACAAGGCTGGCATGGTCCCGGGGTGGAGATGTTTCTTCAGATACAAGGCGGGTCTACCCTTTTAACCATGTGCAGTCAACCCTACATTTAAGCATAGAGTTTAGCACAGTGAACTCCATGCTAACAAGCTGAGATGTATAGTGGCAATGCAGGCATAAATCACAGTGTAAGCATGTATCCCATGTTTTACACTTAAAAGCTAGGTTTTTGAGCAAAATGGTGTATCTTCATACACAGCATTGGTATGGTGAAGTATATAAGGGCATCGCATAAGGCAAGGGCATGTAGAGTAGAAGAGAATGATAGAGTGCTGAGCTTCAAATCAAAAGGAACAGCTTCAACAAATTAAGGAACCAGCAATGCAGAAAGTTTGTTGAAAACAAAAACATGAAATAAAAAGAGAGAACAATCATAAGAGGCCCATCTTAGAGTAAACCAGGTTGTTCTGTCCAATGTACTTGGTGGTGTCTTGCATGGGTGGTCAACAAGCTATCTGGATCAATATGGCTTTGGAGCTGGTGATAATTTGATACATGAGGATTGTTAATTCTGGGGCAAATGCAGAAATGCAAATTAGAGAGCCAAATGTAGTGATTTATCCCCTCAAGCACTGACTAGGCTTGTGATACAAGGATTGAAGTGGTGAGGCGCACTCAATCTTGGTTGGGAGTGCAAGGGGCACAAGAGGTGCTGTGCCAGCAATTAGAAATCACTATATATCCCCTGAGCCCCATACAACAATACTTATCCACACCAATATAACAGCTGTCATAGTGTGTATCTTCTTGCTCAGTATCATCAGCTTGAGTCCAATCCAAATTGACTAGTTCACGACAAAATCAAGGAGTTGATGTATTCTGGCTTTGTGGGGTGTTGTTTGAAAATAAGATCAATATCATTGAACTCACACTTCTTTCTTGCTGATTGAACTGAATCTGCATTCTTCTGTCACATGATTAAATGGTATAGATACCCTCTGTCTAACCCAGGGTTGCAGCTACTTTGTTCAGGATATGTAGGCTGTCGGGGAGTGCCAATAGGCCTCAAGCCAGACCTTTGGGCACTTCAGTAAGAATATTTGTGATATCTTGATACAGCAAACCCTTGATGTATGCATCTAGTATGTTACATCACTCTATAGGCATTGAAAATTTTGCACTGATTCTTTGGGAACACAGAGTGCCTGCAAAGATACAATCCTTGATGCATAAATTATAATGCATGTACTAAAAACACTTTTTATGCTTATGAAGTGGGTACACAAGTGTGTAGAAGCATGTGCTAACATATCAATGGTGAATATGCTTATATGCATAGGTAAATTGCAAAACAAAACTTCCCAATGTCAACCTTACCCAACCAGGACTCCAGCTTTTCTTTCAATTTGCTTGAACATCATGTTTGATTCAGCCCTTTAAGAACTCGTGACTGAAGCAAAATTTCTTGACTGTCAGTGTTATGAAATTTTGCGCAATCACAGGAAAGCAGAAGGAGCTTCTGTATCAGTTTTCAAGGGCTTCTCAACCCCAAGATCAATGACAAACCCAAGGAGTGAAGACACTAATCCCCTCTGTCATCAAAATTGTCAAGATAATATCAATTTAGAATTAATTGAAATCTAAGAAATTCAGATTACAATCCTGTACCAGACGTCTACTGTGAACCTTGGATGACAAGTATCCTTGGTCTACAGCAATCAAAGAGATAAGTTATGCCTTATGCAGCTGGCCAAAAGACTCTGAGAGCACAATAAACTGGGCAACTCATGTTCAATCTTTATAAAAAACCAGTGGTAATGCAAATCACATTCATACATGTTGTTTTGCTGAAACAAATCAGTCTTTTGAAATGTTTGCGCCTGCAGCCTCAGCTTCAACTTCTCAATATTGACCAATTCTCCAATCGTTTGACTCAATGACTACACCCCGTGTTTCTACATCTGAAGCTCAAGGGCTGAATAAGTAGTCTTGGTTCTCCTGGTCACAAGATCACCGTGCGGTAGTGGAATTCCATTTCACTGTAGCTTTTTTCTCCTGGTTACAGAATTACTTCTGTTTTGCTTTGTTTAATGTTAAGGTCTGGAGGAGCTTGAAGATTATCATTTCATTCCTGCTCTGTAACTCATTACCCATCTGTTGATGTTCTTTGATCCCCTTTGTAATAAGAAGGGGTCTTTGAAATTGTACACAGAAAGAGCACTTCTCAAATTTTGGGTCACTACGCACTTGTTCTTTCAGTGGGTTTCCGTCGACTCCAGATTGTTGTGGGCATAGGTGGAGTGTTTTTTTAGCAAGCTCACAACTTGATATACAACCAAATATTTCGAGCTTTGCGTGAATTTGCCCGAAAGTAAGAAAGTGACAATGCATGAACACAAATAAAAGCTGTATAGATGAAGATAAATACTATGAATAAAAACGATTCTATATATATTATATACAGAGTAAACACGTTTGCATGAGATGTGTGCTACGATACCAATACAAAATTGACTTTTAAAAAGATAGACTAATTAATATAACAATTGCTTTTTCGTCGAGTCAAATAGCATCAGGAAATAGAAGATAGGAGTAGATATCCGATTGGTCAAATTACAAGCGGTCTTGAATCTTCACCGGATTAAGAATGTGACCTATGACTGTCCAACTGCCAGCTAGGACCAGACCCACAGCTTGCTGAGCTGCATCGAACAGGATCCTACGCTTACTGTGATTAAAGGGCTGCTTCTCAGAGTTTGTGACATAGTCACGGATCACTGGAGCACTTTTCACAAGCGCCAGAGTGGTGGTCCAAGGTAGAATCATCAAATGCAGTATGATGTCCGCGATAGGATGATTATGCGACGTGGGGTAGCAAGATATGGTTCTCTGAGCTAGATTGGGCGGCGCGAGCTTGAATCCAAAAACGGGCACGTATAACGCTGGTAGGATATCCGAGGAAATCACTGGGTTGGATAGGCGTGGTGAAGATTGGGCAGTCGTATCACTGGGATCCGATTGTGTATGGTCGATATCAGTGGCTTGATTTCCGGAAACCGTATCAATCAAGGGATCTAAGCTACTATTGGGTGTTCTATCTACTGAATCCATATGCTTGTCGGCCTGAATTTCATTCTGTGTCATTTGAGACTGGGTGGAGGTGGAGGGGTCATAAGGGTCGAGGAGCAAGTGACTTGGTGAAGATTGATTGATCCCAGGGGTCGAAGCAGCAGCAGGTGAGGATGGTATGCCGAAGCTAGGGGATTTTTGGCTATCATTTAATGGCGGGCTCCCCTTTTGGCTAGAAGGGACCGAGCCTGTTGAGTCGTGTCGGTTGAGAATTCTGGAAGACTTCGCACTAGAGCTTGAAGACTTGACATCTCGGGTTGGACTTTTAATCTGTCTCGCATGGTCGGAAGTCAGTCGAGATCTCAGTGAGGTTTTGAGATGGCGAAGGACATCTGTATCGGCAGCTTCAGATGATGATCGACTATCTTCAGTTCGAGAAATAGGGGGTGAGGGACCTGGTTGATCCGATGAGGATGGAAATGAGACTCGAGCATGAGTGTTTGGAATGAGGGGATGACTGTTCACAAAAAGTTCAAATAAGATTAAGTTAAGGTATCAAGTCTTCTTGATTAAAGCGTTAAAAGAACTGACATTGGACTCGTTGAGGTGGTCGCCTGACTAGGGGAGGGATCATGGTTCTGCGTTCCTGACAAAAGCCCTTCGAAGCTTAGGGCTTCTACCTTGCTGACTGAACGTTGAGGAATATGACCGCGTGCACCACCAGCAGCCAGGAGTCGAGCAGCGGGACTGACAGGAGCTTTTGAATCGGTAGTAGATTTGTTAGATTTCTTGTTGGTCGATTTTGACTTGGGCATGGTTCTAAATGTGATGTCAACGTCTGTGATAAGAATTCAAAGGTTGATGACGCATTTGAAGGAAGCCTCGAAAGGGAAAAGGGTGTACTGTACAAAGTTATACATGCTGCACCTGTCACAAGTTACAGCTCAACTTACATACAGAAGAGCTCCGGCTCTTTTTTCTTTGGTTTTTTATGCCTGCGCTTGACAATCCAATTCTTTTCTTTACTGCAAAGACATCTGTACTCAAGTTCATGTGTCTACAGAAAAGGCCCCGCTCCTCTACAGTGTTGCATCTTCTGTAGTTGTTGAAATACACAATTTCTAAGGGGAACAAAATCTACAGGACATCAAGAGGAACAACTTTGGTTTTTGAACCAAGTTCATCAATCAACTATTGATCATCTTGCAAGAGAAAGAAGAATATGTTATTTGAATCCTTTGTAAATTTTGTTTTAAAGATACAGCCACCAAATTCCAAATCAGAATGAGATACAAGAAATCTGAATATGTGTCTCTCATCAAGGCAGTGGTCACAAGTATCTCCAGTCAAAATGGGCATGGGGGCTTATTGAGACAAAGTGGGAGTATTTGCGGGTTTAAAAAACCTCCCAGCCAAACTCAACTTTTGAATCCTCTGTTGTCACACCAAGACCAGCTGATAATTCCTGAGTCCCTCTCCAAATGAGATCCACTCTTAGATTCCTAATTCAAACAATCTGTATTACCTCTATTGACCTAGTACTTATAATTCTAATTGTTTCATTTGTCCTATTCTCTAATCAAAAGAACAGACATCTTCTTAGAATTTAATACTGTAAAATAAATGTAACCACCTTTCTCACTTCCCTGTGGAATCCTCTAGAAGTGTAACCAAGCTCATAGACTCCCTCTAATTACTTTTCACCCCATAGGAGACTTTTAGTACCCCGACCCAGTTAGGATTATTGGACTGGCTCCTTAGCTTCTTACCTTCAAGATCAATTTCCATTTGAATTTATTCTAGCTTGCTTAATACGTAAGTGAAACTCTACTTAGTAAATACCCTAGTTCTTGCAACCTAACTTTGTACAAACTCCCTGTATCTTCTTTGGATTATCAGGCTATTCCAGGCTTTAAGCTTCAGAGAAAACCCAGGTCTAGGAGTCACTCACCCCCTGCTGTTTAACCAACAGTAGGCCTTTAATCTTCATAGAAGATATAGTATTCATTTTGTGAAGTCATACTCATCAAATAATACATTTCATTTGTATAGCTAGGTAGTACTAGAATAATGCATCCCACGTAACCCAGCAGGATTCTTGTCAGGCCTCCAGACAGTGTAAGTCTAGACCAGTGAACTGTTTGAATAATAGCCACCCTGACAATGAAGATCACTTATGTATCTTGGCCTTCAGATGCCCAAGGAGTGATACCCACTGTGAACATACCATCCTCTCAAGAATTTGGAGGACTTAGCCTGAATACAGGTTGTCATGTGAAAAGATTCAGTGTATGTCAATGTTATCAACAACATGAATTTGTGGGGGCAGAACATGGGCAGCAGCTTGGAACCTTCATTGTTTTCAGGCATTGTAGATAGATGCTGGAAAGAAGGGGTGGTACAAAAATTGGCTGGGGGCTTCTTTAGCCCTCAATATCTCTGTCCCCTTCTAGTAAAAATCCTCTGGAGCAAAGAGAGGCTCTGTGCACCTGCTTATTCTACACACATTAATGTACCTCAGTTTTCATCTGATTCATTTATTGCACGGTAATAAGAGGGTTCAGTTTACAAAGAAACACCAAAATTCTTGAGAAAGCCGTCCAATATGTCAAAACCTCACACCAGGCAAGCTGGGATGTTACACAAAACCTAATTTTACAAGTCTGGGTTCCAGCACTTTATCAAACCCAAGCGACAGATTTTAAAAACCCAACATGCATAGGTTGAGCAGGCGCACAAGGCCTTTCTTGGTTACAGACACTGCAAGTATAATGTGTTTCTATTTGGTGAGAAATGATTACATTTAATCTACAAAATGATTAAAAATGCATCAAGTCTGCATTAATTCTGTATTTTTTGGCATCAATTCTACATTATTAGTGACTTTGTACATCAAATGCAATCACTTTTCTGAAAATGTATGAGTGAAGCAGAATATAATGGGTGGCACTTATAACAAAACTGATGAAAGCACTGCTGATAAGGTACAGGTGTATCTACTTCCTGTTCTTAGGAATGATGACTAACGTGGTGAAAGCTCTGCTGGAAAGATAAAGGTGTGTCTACTTCCTGTTCTTATGAATGTTAACTAACCCATAACAAAGATAAATCAAACAAGATAGCACACATAATTCTATGTTTATAATGTTAGTGATGTAGAAAGAACATTGTTATCAAGTACCTGCTATCTAGATTAGATAGTGGAAAGGCACACAATGATTGTTATGAGTGTATGATCTAAGTAAAAGGTAGACTACATCATAATAGACATTAGATCACTCTTAGAGATAAGAAGAAACAGAAATGGAGAAATATGTGCGTTCTCTTTCCCAAGGATGGGGAAAGAAGAACAATTACATTTGCACTCCATGACCAATAAGGAAAACATAAATTTCACTAATTTGGTTGGGGTTAAGGAATTTCCTCCTCTTTCTTGTATTTCCATTTTATTTTTCAATAATGACATCATTCATGTATATCCTTTATTTCAACTTCTCTTCACTTAGCCTTCTTTTGTCTCTTTGCCTACAGTTTCAGTTCCTCAAGTCATCTAATCATTTCAGTAAGTCAATTGGCCAATAACATTTTCACCTTGATGAAACACATTATATTTGCAATGAGAGGAGTTTTATTTTCCAGGGATGGAGACATTGAGTGTTAAAGAAGTCCTCAGCCAAGCCTTTTTGGCTCATACCCCAAACTTCATGTAGAAGCCATAAGTCCCTCTCTTGACTACTTACTTGTCTGAGAAGGACTCAATTAATCCCGCTCAACTGAGTCCTCTGAGAAATTTGATACATCTAATCAATGGCAAGTTTCCAAGAGGATTCAGGTTCAAATGTGTGATAGGAAATAATAAAACTTCCTGTAAACATCTTGTAGATGCAGACTTGAGAAATATATGAGTCTACCCAACAAACTGTCTTCTCTACTTGAGAGCTTCTCTCTGCTGTATTTTACATCCCTGGTACTGTCTTTCAATCAAGTCAGGAAAACCATCAACAATCTTGATGCTCCAATAATAACCTGAAGGCATGTTTTAAATACTTGCTGGGTTCTAGGTTTGGTTCACCCTAAGTATCTGAAAGCAGGACTTGAGACTAGTGAGATGTGCGTGTACTCAGGTCAAACTTCCTTTCCTTGAGATTACATATAAAGGCCTTTCATTGGTTTTAACATGTTTCTGGATCACAGCCCACAGCCGGTCATGCTCAGGTGTCTCAAGTCACTTCTTGAATGCAAGTTGAGGTGCACTTGTCCAAGGTATCTCTTCTGCCATGTCAGCGGCCCTGGGTATTTGATTTTCATAGTGCAAAAGAATTCTTGATTTCAGACTTGCTTCTGAGGTAATAAGATTTCACCCAAAACAGACAAACAAATTACACTTGATAGTCGAGTGTTGGAAAAATACATTTTAGGCATCAAATAAAAGACACATTGAATTTTTCAGAGTCCAAAATAACATCCAGACATCAATATCACACTTGCAGCAAGCCATGAGGGTTTTGAATTGATCTGGGTATGCATGGGTAGTGCTTCCCTACACAGATGACTAGCTGAGCAAAACAGTAGATAAGTATAGGAGAGTAGTCTGGATTTCCTCACTATATCTGTATCAGATGTCCTTTGACATTTTTCTTTGGAAAGAATGTTGATAACAACAATTTCAGAATTACTGTTGACTTACACATTCTCTGTACGAATCTTGACAAAGTAAGTAAAAATTTGATGCAGAAATCGACTTCTTTGCAAGCATCCCTGATCTGATAGATGAGCAGATATGCAACTGCGTTCACCAAGATGCACTTTGGAAAAGATGTTGACATCAACAATTACGGAATGACCGTTGACTCACACGTTCTCGATGGAAATCATGGCAGAGTAACGAAGTCTACATTCTCGATGCAGAAATGAACTTCCTCGCAGACATCTCCAAGCAGAAAGATCGGAAGACATGCATCTACATTCACCAAGATGTACATGGAGTGTATAGCTTTAGGAGCACTGGAGTTACTACCCTCTGAAGCAACAAGACTCAAACTTATGGCAAAAGGGTAAACCTTGAGATATTTCAATCTGGTGTTGAGGTGACAGAAATCTGTGTGAAAGAATCGCAAATCCCCTTCCGGGAATAGGAAGCTGTCTCATTTCCCCCGTTTTCAGCAATGTCTTACAATAGGGTCCAAGGAGAGCACAAAAATAATTGCATCACAAAAAGTTTACTCCTCAAAGGTTCGATTAAACAGACAACATTGTCAGATACATAGCGGGTCCTTCTCTCTTAAAGGCATTCCTTCCATCTCGAATCGTTACATTTGTGTCGTGAGGCTGCTACTAGAGTGCAAAATGAAGTGGACTCTATGTCACTACAACAAAGATCAAGCTTGTGGATTAGGGAAGGCCAGTGTCAGGGTGATGTCTCACACACCGCAATCTTCAAGCTGGAACCGATCGGGAATATGATTTTCTGAGGCAATAAAGATCATTGAGAAGTGACATTCCATAGTGAAATTTCAAAACTCCGTGTAGGATCGCGGACGACAAGGGGAAGCAAGGGGATTTGAAATGCATACAGACTGTGACGCAAAGTTTCAAGCCAAAAGTCCGAGACGAAATGAGTCATAAGTTTTAACTTGGGTTTTGGACCTCGTCTACGCCCAAGGGGGCAGGAAGGGGCAGGGAGGTTAGGTTTAAAATGAAGACTAAAATCACCCACAGACGGTGGTAGCAAGGGTTTGAAAAAATTTGTGTGTATCACCCCGAAGCGCGCAGAACCCGACCGGAGCTGATACGTGATCGATATAAACGACGTAGCTCTTGAGCGCCTCCCGCCTTTGGCTTCCCTTCCCTTCCTTCGTTGTTCTATTCCCATCCACTTCTCTCATCATCATTTGAAGTTTTCTACAGTAGATCACCCTAACACAAAAAATTCACTGTGAGTTCGGAATCCATCTATTCCTTCGATTCTCCCTCTTCTTCTCTTCGAAGCTAGCCCTATAAAAACTCGACATCATTCTGTTGTAGTCTAGTAATCCTTTCGCTCACCTCCCGATTATCAATCTTTTTCTTCTCTCAACTCTTCGCAACGTTCTAGCTTCTTACTCTTACTGACCTTACGCCTCCACTTAGTATCTTAATCAATCATCATGGGTAAAGAAAAAGGTCACGTTAACATTGTCGTCATCGGACACGTCGATTCGTAAGCTTTATCGGCTCACTACCATCATTGCTCTACCCTTCTGACCTCATTGCTTTTCTCAGCGGTAAATCCACAACTACCGGACATCTTATCTACAAATGTGGTGGTATCGACAAGCGAACTATCGAGAAGTTCGAGAAAGAAGCTGCTGAGCTCGGTAAGGGTTCCTTCAAGTAAGTTATTCCGCTCACCTCCCTTCACTTCACTAGCTCATGTTGGGCCACTTGTAGATATGCCTGGGTACTTGACAAGCTCAAAGCCGAGCGAGAACGTGGTATCACCATCGATATTGCTGTAAGTCACTTTGTCAACAGACCTCTGCCGCCTGATCGATTGCTGATATACTGGTGTCACTAGCTCTGGAAATTCGAGACTCCCAAATACTTCGTTACCGTCATTGATGCCCCAGGACATCGTGATTTCATCAAAAACATGATCACTGGAACTTCCCAGGCCGATTGCGCTATCTTGATCATTGCTTCCGGTGTCGGTGAATTCGAAGCCGGTATCTCAAAGGATGGTCAAACTCGTGAACACGCTCTCCTTGCCTTCACTCTCGGTGTCCGTCAACTTATCGTGGCCATCAACAAGATGGACACCTGCAAGTGGTCCGAGCAGAGGTACGTGCTTAGCTTTTTGATTCGACTCCCTCCTGCCGCGATTCCTTCCTGCGTTGATCCCATTTCCGTCGTTGTGCTTTCGTCAGATACGAGGAAATTGTCAAGGAAACCTCCAACTTCGTCAAGAAGGTCGGATTCAACCCCAAGACTATCCCCTTCGTCCCAATCTCCGGATGGCACGGTGACAACATGTTGGAGGAATCCACCAACATGTCATGGTTCAAGGGATGGGAGAAGGCCGTGAGTTTTGTACTATCCGCTACCTGATATGCGGTCGACTGACCTCTCGGACGCTCTTCAGACTTCCACTGGTGGCTCCGCCAAGGGTAAAACCTTGCTCGAGGCCATTGATGCCATCGAACCCCCAAAACGTCCTACAGACAAGCCCCTCCGATTACCCCTCCAAGATGTCTACAAGATTGGAGGTATTGGTACGGTACCTGTCGGACGAGTCGAGACCGGAACCATCAAGCCCGGTATGGTTGTCGTCTTTGCCCCTGCTAACGTGACCACTGAAGTCAAGTCCGTCGAAATGCACCACGAGCAACTTGACGCTGGTGTGCCTGGTGACAACGTTGGTTTCAAGTAAGACACCCCGACTTTACTCTTATTCTGCCTCACACTGACCCACTCCTGCTATCAGCGTAAAGAACGTCTCCGTTAAGGATATCCGTCGTGGTAACGTCTGTGGTGACACCAAGAACGATCCCCCTAAGGAAGCTGCCTCCTTCGTTGCCCAAGTCATTGTTCTCAACCACCCTGGTCAAATCGGTGCCGGTTACGCACCCGTCCTCGATTGCCACACTGCTCACATCGCCTGCAAGTTCGACACCCTCCAAGAAAAGATTGACCGACGTACCGGTAAATCCATTGAAAGCACCCCTAAATGTGAGTCCTCCTTTCTTATTGTCAACCGATCTGTACTTACACCTTCAATGGCTGATCGTTGATTATTCTATTCAGTCGTCAAGTCCGGTGACGCTGCTCTCGTCAAGATGGTTCCCTCCAAGCCTCTTTGTGTTGAAGCCTTCTCTGACTACCCACCTCTTGGTCGATTTGCCGTCCGTGACATGAGACAAACTGTCGCTGTCGGTGTCATCAAGTCAGTTGAAAAGACCGACGGCAAGGCCGGTAAGGTCACCAAAGCTGCTATCAAGGCTGGTGCCAAGAAGTGTAAGTCCTTTTCGTGTTTTTCCTGGCACGTTTGATAAGGTTCTCATTTCTCTTGTCATTCCGCCCAAACAGAGTTACGCTCGGTAGCTGCACGAGTAGTGTGGTTCTCACCGACAGCCGTTATGGGGTCGGATAACGTCTGGAAAAAGATGATCCATCAGATGGGTAGAAGTATCCGAGGTTGGAGGTTTTATCACCGTCATTTTCGGATACGAAAGCTTTTCTTCGTTACCTTTGTTTCTCCACTTTTTCTCACCTTCTCTCACAATCGACGTTGTCAAGATTCCGATAATTGTGCTTTCTACGTGAATTCTACTAGATTCTACTCTTCCTTTGCTCCTACTGTTTCTCCAATGTTGTAATCTTCTATGTGGTTGTTGCCTTCTCTCTTTGAGGACCTTAATCAAATAGCTCGCTTTACATGTTTCCAACTATCACGCCCACAATGAAAACCAGAGCCTACGGCTTGCTATTACTCACGAACTCACTGTCCCTGTCCGAGGTCTCGAGAGATGAGCGTTCCCTGTCCATCTACCCCGAATCGGGTTCCTCTAAACCCTGTTGGCACTTGATGATTTTACGCCTTGCTCGTATGAAGCTTGACCAGATCACCCATCATAGACGCATGGCTCGTTGACTCAAAATCATCAACAGATTTTCACAGTTCGAGTGATGCTTCGACTTGACCTAATAAATGTTGTGACCTCAGTTGACTTTCTGCCGCTCAGTTGCGCTTTTGGGGGGAGGGTATGAGGGCCATCCGCTGTTAGGCCTCTTCACCACAATCCAGACGCCTACTATCAGGCTTCAGCCTTATGGGGTTGATGGACTCGAGGGTGGAGTCTGATAAAAGGTTCTTTAGATAGTATCTTTCTTTCAGGGAATTAGGAATAGCAGGCCCCAGTCAAAAACTTCTCTACAAATCCCTGTGACGTGCTCAGAATTTATTGCTAATAGTAAGAATATATTTTGTAAATTGTATCCTCACTGATACCTGGAGGCTGGCATCATAAGGACAAGACTATGTATACACCCGGATTTCTAAACTGTGATTCTTCTTGGTTTTTCGTCTAAAGAATTCTAAGGCCTTATCCTGGAATTGGTGTTATCTGTTACGATAGTGCTGCTTGTGATTATTTTGAAGGTTCTTTGAGGATATCTCTTTCTTAGTGAGAACCAACACACCACCAGACATCACTAGCAAAACGGTTGTCTGTAATTTCTAATTCTGACGAGCAATAAGGGTGTACAACTCCTTTAGCAAGAGAGTGTAAAACAAGGATCCCACTATTTCTAGCCCCCTATCCGATATCCGGCGCCCCCCTCGGGTTTACCCGGGGGGCTTCAAGAGATTTGTAGCCCCTTTTCGAAAGAAAGGGGCTCCTTTGAGGGGCGCGACTTTAAGTTTATTTCGCCTTATTTTATAAGTCAACCGAACGTCCGCTACAGCTCATTGAGGTTCAGCCAAGTCGATATTGGTTTCATTCAAAGAACAGGTAAACATATTCAAGATAAAACATCACAGTTGAGGTAGAAGGTTAGAAATACCAATAACTACAATGGTTTGTGATATCCAAAATCAAATGAATTGAAAGCAAAACCAAATACTTGTACCAAGCAGTAAATTCAACAAAGTCCCTAAAAAACAAACCCATTTGTGGGCGTAGGTTGATAATCCACAACCAAGCATAAGCAACGAGCCAAGCGCTGTGGTTAAAACCAGACCGATATAACACAAGAAGGTCATACCAGAGGTCCGTTTTATCCGGATCATCATACTGCATACCATAAGTTACTAAGTCACCGGGAAAGTGGCTACTTGGACTGCACAGACATCGGCCCCCAGACAGTCATGGCCGCTATCTATCCATACTACTACAAAAAGAGCTCCCCTCTCGCCCATCACAAACTCTCTTCCCTCATCTGATTTTTCTTCCTTTCCCTGTCTCCCACTGATCACATACAAATACAACCTTAACCTTGATTTGTCACATCCAAAACAACCATAACCTCACTAATTACCACTAATAACACCTTAACCTCACTAACTACACCTTCACCTTCTCTAATATTCTCACATCATCGTTCAGACTTTCAAAACTTCGAAACTTCGAAATTTGATACACTATGCTAT